GTCAGTGGGGGCAAAAGTAGGAGAAAAGGGCTCCGGATCGAAATATTGACTCAAGAGACCTTCTGGAAAGTCCATTTGAACTTCCTCCCGAGTAGTTACTGTTCTTTCTCTGATGCGAGTCTGGACCACATCCTCCCTTTATCCAGCCCAACCCGGTAGAACAGGGGACCCAGAGGAGCCAAAGCCGCTTACAGCGGGACACCCCTTCCCAGTCCCTTTGCTGACCCGCCCAAGCAAGACGCGCTTGCAGCCAGTGCCCACTGGGTGGCGACAGAGTCCCAGCAATGCCCACAGAGGAGGCCTCCACTCCAGCACCCCCCCACTCGCACCCCCGCCCACCCCACCCCCACTCCTGAGTCCTGGCTATGGGTGCTCCTTCCCTGGAAATGAATGTCTGGGCCATCGGCTCCCCTCCCATACCAGCCCTGAACCTGCCCCCCCCACTTATAATTTTCATTTTTATAGCACCAGGGTTTTTAGAAATCTGATTCATACGCCTTCTTCCAGCTGATGACTGTCCTGAGGGTAGAAGGAGCAGACATTACTGTACCCCATTTTACAGTTGACAAAATGGATCTTGGCGCAGTTCTGAATTGCAGCCAAGGTCAAACAGTGAATGGCAGATCTGGCCTCAGACCCAGGTCCTCTTGACTCTCAACCCCATGCTCTTTCTGCCAGAGCCCCACCGCCCCTCTTGCTTAGAGGGGGCCCAGCACAGCAACCCCCTGCTATTTCAAATCAAAGTCAAGCCTGGGTGCTTGCTTCCATGGATCCATATGCTGCACCCTGATGGTGCCCATCTGGTCTTCAGAATGCTGCCATGCCCCAAGGCCAGAGCCCAGATCTGCCTCATGGAACCTGAGGGCACCGAGAGAAGCAGGCAGTGCTAGCCAGCTTGGCGATGGGCACTGCTGGCCCCGGAATGGGAGAACAGGCAGACGCTAGCCCGTGGAAGCCCGCGGCTGGCCGGTACTCCCCTGACTTGCCCCGTGTGAGTCGTGGAAGGAGCTGGGGGTGTGGCTAAGGTCTGTCCTGGGAAAGGCTCTAGGACCCATGTTCCTGCAAATTCTGGGCAAGCGTGTGAATGAGGTAGAAAAGCCTGGGAGAGAGATGAGTGGATTCCACAGGCTTCTTTCCTCATGGCAAGGAGTGAAAGCTGTGAGAACCCACAAGCAAAGGGAACATGTCAGACCGGGGTGGCTGGGGCCCAGGGGGGAGGACATCAGGACAGGCAGCTTGCTGGAGGGGTAAGGGCAAGGCTGATGGAGTGAGAAGTCTTGGCTTCCAGCCCTACCTTCACCACCAACTGCTGTAGAGCCACAGCCTCAGTTTACCCATCTGCTAAATGCTCAGCTCCTCATGGGAGGTGTGAAAGCCCAAGGGAAGCTCCCGAGTGTCCTATAAACAGAAGATCCCTCGGCGGGGGGGGGGGGGCGGTGAGCTGGGCTGTTTTGTGCGCTCCCATCTCTATGGAAGAGTCAGAACCAGAGACGGAGGCCCCTCCCTTGGGCCTGGGAGTATTTACCGACGAAGGCCATTGTTCTCCCCATCGTCTGGCCCCGGGACTCCATGAGGGTGGCAGATTTGGGGGCTCTGTGCCAGGCTGCATCTCTGCACCCCACCTCCCGGGGGGGGACACAGAGGAACGGGGTGCAGCCAGCCCATGTACAGTAGGGAGCGGCGGAAAGCAGAGGCTTTGCTATTAATGTAGTCAGTAAATAAATAAAGGAGGGCTTAAGCTTAGTGTACAGCAATCAGTTTAGAACTACAGGGTAATTAGCGCTGCAGGGGGCGTCAGGCCTGCGGAGTCAGGTTGAAATGAGAGTTCACTTTCACTGAGGCACCCCCTGGAGAGCAGAAAACACAGCCCAGAGAGGAGCCCGCCCTCCTGCCAGCCCCCAGGGGGCAGGGGCTAGGAGTGTGGATAGTGGGGTTGGACCCAGCACCGCAGAAAGAGCTGGGCATGGATGGTCGGTCCCCCGTCCTGGCCAGGGAGCAGGTGTCTCCGTGCACAACCCGCCCCCCCCCATTGATGCTCAGGGAGGTCTCTGCCTGCAAGGTGCCACTGTCCCGGGCTGGCTGCGCCTCTCTTTGCACATGGGAATCACAGTTCAGTGTCTCCATGAACGGACACGGGCACCTGTGAGAGGAAGCCGGAGCGCCTGTGCGGGAGCCTCCTCACAGCCCATGGTGGGCACGCACATGCTGTGCACCTACTTCTCTGATTTCCCCAGGTCCGGGCAACTGCAACCTCAGCCCCAGATGCTAACTGCCTCTCTCCTTCCTTCTCCCTGTCTTTCATCTGTTTATTCCACAAAGATTTATTGGGTGCCTCGTGGGTGCCAGCCAGTGCTAGGCTCTGCAAATATGAAGATACACAACACACAGTTCCTGCCTACAAGGAACTTTACATGGGGCTGACGGAGAGAGTGAAGACAGCCGGTGATTACAAGGCCCGAACCGTCCCGCAGAGGCTGTGCACAGGGTGGCACCCAATCCTGCATCAGTGGCCGGGGAAGGTTTCCTGCAAGAGGTGAGGTTCCAGCGAGCCCTGGAAATGAGACGGTGAGACAGCCAGACTGGAGGGCGGCGCGTGCGTGTGCGGGCACGGTTCCTGGGAAGAAGTCACAGCGTGTGCAACGGCCCAGCGGGGGGGGCGGAGCTCGGTGTCTTCCAGGAACCGCCCGTGGCCCTGTCGTCTGGAGCCCAGAGTAGGGGGCAGACCATGGGAGTGATCCCGAGACAGGGCTGGGGTGGCGAGCACAGGCGCTCGATCCCTGAAGGCGCTGTGAGCCTTGTTAAGGAGCTTGAATCCCATCCTAGAGTCCTCGCCGGGCACTTTCATCAAAGGGGTGACATGATGCTATCTGCATTTTTGGAAAGTTCGTCTGGCTGCCGCAAGGCAAAGAGGAAGATGGAACAGAGGGAGGACGGAGCACCTGGGGTCAGGCCTCCTCGGCCCCCTCCCCCTCCGGGTGGGAGGAGAGAGGGGCTCCCCAGGCAGCCAGGTGGGGAGGCCTGGCGATGCTAAGCTGGACGCAGACGGCCCGGCCTCACACCTTGCTCGCCGCCTGCCTCTTCTCACTCGTCACAACTTGCTTGAGTCTCCAGCAAGTCCCCGCTGGCTCTGGGCCTCTGCTCTCCCACCGTTGACAGGAGGGCAGCCCGCCAGTGCAGCTGCGGAGACAGCTGTTAAGGCGGGACGATGTGACCCAAGTGCCCACCTGAAGCCGAGCAGCCTCGGCCGGGAAGGGGCACCGCGTGTGTTCGGGGCTCCCAGCTCACCTCCTCGGGAACACACTGGGATGGGACTGAGCCCCTCCCTCGGCGGCCTGGCCCCTCTTCTGACCCCAGCAGAGCGCCCCCCCGTGGCAGGCCCCGTCCTGCAGGCTGGGGCAGAGGGCAGCGGGGCCCGGGCAGGGGCGGGAGGGTGGGGACTGAGTCCGGCCCCAGAACGTTCTCAGGCTGGCCCGGCCAGGGCCCCTTTCTCTCCATGAGATCATATCTGGGTCAAAGAGCATGTAAAGCAGGCAGACCCCAGCGGCCACACAAAGCCCATTCAGCCCAGCCCCTATTCACTCACCTCCTCTCCCCCAGAGCCCACACCACAGCGACCCCAGCGCAGCGCCTAAGCCCCAGCTTTGATGTCCAAGAACAGAAAACGGCGATTAAATGTTGTTTTAAAGAGGGAGTGCTCACTGCCCTCCCATCTGTCAAGAGAAAGCTGAGGCCCGAGGGGGAGGGGCGGGGGAGGGGCCGGAGGCCCGGGGAACCTCAGAGAAGGGACCCGGAGAAGAAAGGGATGCCTGCGGAGGAACCGGGGCAGAGACTCAAAAGCACACCAAATATATTTTTGGCAAAGGATGGTTTTCCAGAGGAGCAATATGGGGTGAGGAAAAAAGAATGTGGGACAGAGACACAAAGGCCAGGAGGAACCTCCAAAAAGATAAGAGAAGACAAGATCATAGAGGAATAAAGAGAGATGAGCAGAGCGGGGAAATGAAAGAAAGGGGCAGAGCGCTCCTGGGCCCTTCCTCCTCCTGGGGAGGTCGCCCCGTCATCCCGAGGCTTGGCGCTGGTCTCGCAGCCCGCAGAGGCTGCGGCAGCAATCGGAGCTGGGTCCCTAGGTCTAGGTGAGGGGATGGATTATTTCAGCTGGAGCTGGCTGGGCGGGCAGGACAGCCTCGGGCAGAGGCGCTGGGCAGAGGCGCTGGCCAGTGCGTCTAGAATTAGGTGGAGTTGGTTTTTCAGCTCTAGACAACCAGGGCCATGCTGCCATCCCCAGGGGGGAGGAAGGAAGGCCCAGAGAAGCAGCCTTGGCCCAGAGACAGGGAGAGGAGCGGGGAGGCATGTTCGTGAGGCTGGGTTTGCATCCTCACCTACCACCTGTTCCCTCCTGTTCCCATTGCCTTTCTCCATGGGACCTGGCGGCTACAGACCCAGGGACCTTAAATTGGGTGGCAGCTTCTTTTTGAGAAATTTCAGGAAGAAGTTGATGATGTCTCCGTAACGGAGAGGGCCCTGCTTCTGGAGTCCTGGGAAAAAGCAAACCCGATTTGCTATCCGTGATCCCAAGCAAGTTCTAGCACAAGCGAGCCAGCGAGCAGGATTCTGTGGCTCCCTGAGGGCAGGGGTTTGTCTGTCCTGTTCCTGCTGTATTCCCAGAGCTCACGGCAGGAACTGGTATGAGCCGCTGCATGAACGTCTATGTTGAAGAAATAAACGGACCAGTGCTGACTTCATACATTGTTCCAAGGACCAAATCATAGTGTACTGAATGCTATTTTTAACTAAAAAAGTATTAGACAAAGATGTCGTGGAGCACGTATGTGCCTCGTAAACATGACAGAAAGGGCCCCATAACTACCCCAGAGCTTTCTTTTCCCCCATCCCCAGCCAGAAATCTCAGTTCACCTAGTGTTAACCACCCAAGAAAAGGCAGAAAAGACAAAGCAGTTTTTTGTTTTTTTTTAAAGAAGGGGACACTTCAAGCCAGAGACAACTGAATTAACTTTATTCTCTTCTAACTGCAGATTCAAGGTATACAACTGAACATTGCTATTTTTCTTATGAGACTTATAAATAAAAATACAAAAAATGTTCACTACAAAAAAATCTACTGTTAGTAGGATGTAAAAAATATTCTCTTTGCTATAGAAGGCACAAACTTCACTTAGTGACACATGGAGAGAGAAAAAAACCTGCAGCAGTAAATTCATTTTTTCTTTTTTTTTCTTTTTTCCTTTTTAAATCTTGTCAGAAACACTGAAATTACAAAGAAACGCATCAATCTACACGGAACGAAGGCAGATGCGGAAAAGCTGCGACCAGGACCGCACGACGTCAGGGGGAACGGCATCAGGGGACAAGAACAGGTAGGGTTGGCAAGCGAGACTTGGGGGGGGCGGGGCGGGGGCCGGGGGAGGGGTGGGGAGGCGCAGGGGCGGGGCGTGGGGGGCGTGGGGGCGGGGAGAGAGAGATTTGTACAAAAAAGTAACCGGTAAAATTGAAGAAACAAAATTGGGCAGCCTCCTAAAATTAGGCTAAGAGGAGGTGCTGAGGTAGACATGAACTAGAACATCAATTAATTAAAAACACTATTCCGTAATACAGAGCGACCAGACTAACACTTGTGCTGTCACCACATAAGACAAGCCACAAAAACAAACAAATAACAGAACAAAACATAATACCCAAACCAAAAGGCTTAGTTTTGCTTGGTCCAGCAGGGCAGCAGGGCCCTCAGTGCTATAATTTACATACATATATATATATATTTATCTTTATATATATGGGTCGGATGTCATGGTGCACCACCACGGCTTCTTAACCTTACAAAGATCATGCATAACACACTAATGTGAACGAATTCTAGGACACACACCAGGAGGCTGGTACCCTGTCTGCAAAGTGGGACGCCGAGGACCCAGGGGAAGCAGGGCAGCCAGCTCACAGGCCTGGGGGGCCCCGCGCCCCTTGCTCCCCACCCTTCTCCCCTGACCCAACCTCCTTGGTCTGTCTTGCACCCCTCTCCCGGCCCGGCTCTGCCTTTTCCTCCACGCATCAGCGTCCCTGAGCTGGGTCAATCTGGCTTTTTCCCCTCCTGCTGAAATATCCAGGTAAGTGCCGCCACGAAGCTCCAGGGGAGGAGGAAACCAGACAGGGTAGAAAAAGATAGAACACAGGCCTCAGAAAAATGAACAGAGTCAGATCTTCTTCTGCTTTTCTAACAGCTGGTGCCCCCATCCTTCACTCTTGTTGGGCTTTGTGCAGGAAACCATCCACACATCTCCTCCCGCCCCCCACCCCTCAGCTCTCGCGGACAAAGTCCGGAGGCCACCCCACCAGTGCTCACTCCCCTGCCAAGGAGGCAAGCCAAGTGGCCCTCTCTCTCCAGGGCCCTAACACCCCTGCAGCCGGTGGTACCAACAGCATCCAGAAGGGTACCGTACACTTGTGAAAAATTGCAGCAGTTTTGTTTCATTTTCTACACACGGAGAAACTGTTCAGGCACAAAGATTAAACCAGCCCGCATTGCATCCCTGGATTGTACTGAATCACTGGGGCCCCCAGCCTCCCTCCCCACCCCTGTACCCCAGACCTACCTTCCTGCGATCCCTGGCCTCCTCCAAAGCAGCCCAAAGCAGCAATGATATTTACTATTTTATATCTCTCTCTTGCTATATATATATATCTCTATATTTGTCTATCCTATATACAAATAGGATTTTAATGCTTTGAATGAATGAAGGAGTGAATAGGAAAGAGCACATGACGGGTAAATGTCACCAAAAGCATGAAGGGACACGCCTGTAGGAGCTGAACGCTAGAAAGGGACCATTAACCAGCTCGGTCTCTCCGGGCTGGAGAAGCTTCGCTATGCTGGATAAGGCAGTGGCAAGTACGGTCGTCAGCCGTTCACAGCTCAAGACAGCGGCTGGCCAAGGGACCAGATGGCAGAAGGAAAAGGGGGGAAAGAACTCTCAGCTCTCACCTGGGGAGACAGCATCCTCCACCCTCCCTCGTCTCCCCAGCCCTCCTTATCCAGACCCATCTAAAGATTCCATATACTTTTTGATCCTCACCTTGGCCAGTAGGCCTGGCTAAGAGGGCCTTGGCAAGGTCCGAATGAGGAGGCATGCTGGACTCTCTGCAGGGCGTCGAGGCTCCATGGGGGAGGAAGGGCAAGAGCAAAACCAGCGCAGGGCATCTCCCACCCGGTACCCTCCAGACGCCACCTGCCCTGACCCTCTCTGTCCTTCCTTCCCGGCTAGGGTCCCTCGGGGACGGTGGGAGGCAGACAGGTGCTCATTTAGTACCGTCCAATGCGGCAACACCAGATTACAACAGTACTGCATGATGCAACGCACAACCGCACACAAAAAACACACACACGCGCACGCACACGGACAAAGGGATATTTTGGTGGTGGTGGTGGTGGTGGTGGATTTTTTTTTGTCTTTTTTTTTTTTCCTATTCACATTACAAAAGGAAAGGGCAAGGTCCTATAGAACTGACGAAGGAACTAACAAACATTACAAAAATATTACAATTTGTAAATATTAGCTCAACCCTCTCAGCTTTTATGGATAGGGCAGGAGACCCAGGCTGCGTGGGAACAGTGGGGGCGGGGAGTGAGAGATGTCAGCTAGGTCTGTGGAATAGTTTGATTTTTTTTTTTTTCCTTCCCCACCAAAGTTGAATGATATCTTGCTGTTAAAATATTGGTTTTCTGGGATTTACAGATCCCCCTGAGGGCCAGCAGTCCCCTTTCTTCCCAAACTGGGGGAGGAAGCATAGTGCATAACGGTTTCTTACAGACGCCTCCCCCCCCAGAAAATGTCCTCCTTTTCACATTATCAACATGACAACTGCTCTAGTCACATATTTCAAGTGTAATTTTTTTTCCTTTCCAAAGCACTAAGTCATTATTACAATTGCAAAATAGCATCCTCCCTACCTAATCCCCCATCAACAGTCTAGTGACAGTCCCCCCAAATTCATATCCCCCCCAACACACAATTTTTAAGGCCTTCTGATTTGGTGGGCGAGACTGCAGGGGCGGGCAGGAGGGCTGGGACCGAGGGCCGGGGGGGGTCACAGCAGCACCCAACCCTCCGACATCCCCAGAGCCCTCACAACCCTTCTCCCCAAAACCACTTCCCGAAACCACTTTTAAAAACCCAAGATAAAAACGGCAGCCACAACTTTCTCAGAGAGAGAAAGGAAAGAAAACACACACACACACACACACACACACACACAACTCTGACAAATAAAGCGTGAGATGAAACAGAGGGCCCATCCCAAAGTGAACACAAATATTGCAAATGTGCTTTCCAAAATTCAGGGTGGGGAGTTTGGGGAGAAGGGGGGGAGCAGAGCAGCAGAATGGGAGGCATGAAGGGAACAAAAGAAGAACTGGAAGAACATAAGAGGTAGCTTTTAGAAAAACAACACCCCCACCCTCACGCAAAACAAAGCCTGGCTCATCCCCACTCCAGCCCTGAAGAGAGACCAGTTTTGGCAACCATGGTCACACACGCAGAGGTGGGGCCACACAGTTGCCAGGATCTGAATAGGACAGGCCCCTCAACCCTAATCACCCAGCTAACTATAAGAAAGGTGGGATCTTCTCCAGCATGTTTTAGGCTGACCCCTTCCTGGACACAGAGGACTTCGGGCCCCAGGCAGAGCCAACAGTGACTCCAGTGACTCCGACACACCCTCCCCTCCGCCCACCTTCTGCTGACCCCCGCCTCTCACGTTCAGATCCTGAGTACTCGCCTCCTTCTGCGCAGCTCCTTCCAGCTGGGACGGGGAGGGTCGAGGCCAGCTGAAGTCTATTAAACCAACTCTTAATTTATACAAGAAACAGAAAAGAACGTCCTTCCTCCCTCTTCCTCCAACCCCCAACCAAAAAAGAGATACAGGGGTTAAAAAAGCTCATGAGGTCACAAAAAACTGAGGTAATTCAAGTACAACGTGCTAACAGGCGAACAGGGGACACAGAAAAGAAGCAAAACATGACACAAGGGCCAAAGCGCTTTCAACTTGTCCTTCTCTCCTTCCTCCTCCCCATGGACGGGGAGGGGGGGTGTAGGGGGGGCTCTGAGAGCCAGGAATCCTGCACCAGCTCTCTGCACCAGGGCTGGGGCCCCCAGAACAACTCAGCAACACCCCCCACCCCCCGCAAGGACATCCGCGTCCTTCCCTGGGACAATGAGTCCTTACATGGATTCCTTCTCCTAGGGACTGAAATAGGGGTCGTAGGGGTTGGCGTTGGTTTGTTTGGTGGGACAGTATATAGTGAGTTATGTTTTCCCATTTTGGAAGCAAAAGCAGCTCAGCAGGAACCTCGCTCATGACAGGGCTTAACTAGGGTGGGGTACTCCATTTATTTTGTGTTCTCAGAAGGCTGAGGGCAGGGTGGGGGCTCTGGAGACACACGCAGCTTCCCTGCTAGGGAGGCTGGGCCAGAAGGAAGACCCCCCCCCTCCCCGGCCGCCTGCACTGGGGGGACAGGAGTCACGGGGAGGCAGGGAGCACGGAGCTGGGGGAAGGGCAAGAGCCATGAAGCTGCTGCTGTAGACCTTAAGGGGGACACCACGCGGGATGTGGCAGAATGGTGGGGGGGCGGTGCAGGGGAAGCAACAGATAAACCGAGTGGTAGGAAGGGAAGGAGAGCGCCTCCCACCCCAATCTGCCCCAGCAAACCAGAGCTGCCATGTGACCACCGACTCGTGCCCAGCCCCACCACCTGCAGGCCCCCTCCCTGCCCCAGCCCCCTTCCTCTGAGGAGTCAGCAAGAAGGGGGCAGGCAGATTGTGTGGTTCTGCCCAGAGGCCCCCTCACCCCCTTCCTAGCCTCCACTTTTGGACGCAAAAGGGGGGGTCTGGCAGGAGGGAAAAGAAAAATACACCACCATCTGAGCTGAACAAACCACCTCCGCCCCCACCCAAGAAAATGAGGCCAACCTCCAGCCAGAGAGGAGGGACAGAGGGCCCCCCCCACCCCGGGGGGGGGGCAGTGGCCGGGCATCAGGTCACCTGGAGCCCCAGAGAGACTCTGAGGCCAGACAGCTATCAGGTTTCCTTTTTCTTGTCTCTTTTTTTTTTTCCTTTTTTTTTTTTTTCTTTTTTTCTATTTCTCTTTTCTCGCCCAGTCCTTCGTCGACTTCGCCCCGCTGTAACGCCTCTCTCCTGGCTGCCCGCTCCCCCTGCCATGGCCGCGGCCCCGCTCACACGTAGCACAGGTAGAGGTAAGTCTTCTCTATCCTCCAGTCGGGTGGGATCTCCTCGGGCTTGTGGCCCTTCATGTGCTTCTGCATGGAGGAAAGGCTGGGGCAGTACTCCGTGCAGATGGTGCACTGGTAGGGCGAGGCGCCGTTGTGCGTTCGCAGGTGCTTGATCATGGCCGAGTAGTCCCGGGAGCGCTGGTGGCACAGCTTGCACTCGAAGGGCTTCTCACCTGCGGGGGGAGTGCGGGAGAGAGCCAGGACAGAGGGAGAGGGCCATGAGGGCCTCCCCGGGGACGCTGCCGGGGGTGGGGTGGTCCCTCACGCTTGGTGGAGAGGACATCAGTCCCTCTAGCTTAGCACTTTCCTCTAAAACTCTCCGTGATGGTGGATGCACCCTCCAGTATGGTAGCCACCGGTCCACAGAGCCACTGGGCGTCTGCCGCGTGGAGCTGTGTGTTCCGTGGCGCTTCCCTGTTGCTCATTTCACCAGCCACATGCAGCCAGTGGCTGTGGTGTTGCTCAGACACCCTTAGCCCTGCCTTCCGTTTCTCAACCCTCCCAAAGGCCCAGAATCTTCCTTCTGAAGAAAGGGTACGGGGGTCTAGAAAAGGGGCAGTCAAGTCCTGAAAGCCCTTGGGGATGACTTTTCCAGCCGAACAAGGAGTGGAGTCCTTTCGGGGCCACAGCTGGTGGGGAGTAGGGGGTGAAAGTGAGGGAAGCCTGTCCTTCGAACATGCTCCATCTGGGATGCCTACTCCTCTAAGGCTCCGAGAAGCTGCCCCTGGACCCTGCTTTCCCAGTGGGGCTAGAACGGGGCAAGGGACAGACAGCCTGGGATGCCCAGCCACACCCTAGCTGCTCCCCAACCTCCTCCCAGTTAGAGTCCCCTGGAGCTGAGCAGAGGGTGTGAGGGAACCTTGTTTCGATGCAGTAATTAACTGGCCAGCCATCTCACTATCGACACTCTGTGCAGAGGCCCCAGCAAATAATGAAGTAATGAACAGCCAAAGTGATCTAACTATCGACCCGCTATTTACAATAGTCACCACCAATGCATTTAATGATCACATCCCCGGCAGGGGGCTAAGGAAGCCCCAGGGCTCTGGGAAACGCTCGGAGTGACTCTAGCGGCCAGCACCAAGCACCCGAGGCTCTCCTTGTGACCCAAGCTGGAGGCGAGAAAGCAGAGCTGTGACAGCCCAGCATCCTCTCCTTAGTGAATCCTCTGTTCTCCCCTGCACCCGCCCTGCACATGGAAGCATTCTCTCCCCTCGGCCAGCAGGACCCGCCTGAGGTCACTTCTCCCCCGTCCTCTGGTCAGGACAGCTGTTTCCCCTGATCAGAGGAGGCTTCCTAGTTTGCTAGATTCCACCACCTTCCACGACCTCTTATCCTCACGGGAAGTCCTTCTACACGTGGAGCGGTTTGTGAGTACCTCGGCTCCTCCTCTCTCCGAAAGGAGCTCACTCTGACTCCCAGCATCCCAGCGCTCATCCTCACCGAACTCAGTGCCCCCCAGCCCCCAGGAACAGGAAACCATACCAGTCTTTGCTTTCAGCCATCAGGCCAACTTGACCCCAATCGATGTCATCTGCAAGCTACTGGTATGGCTGCCTGGAAGGCCAGTCTGGCTCCCCGGAAAGTGTGCTGTGATCGACCAGCAATGTCTGCCTCAGCCTTGCCCCTGGACACGGCACCTGGGCCACCGGGCTCACCTTTCCCAGAACACGTCCCACTCTCTCAGCCCCAGACCATGCTCACCTGGGCCGCTCTGGCGAACCACCTGCCCCCTGCCCCTGACACCCAGGTCCCTGCACCAGCCTCAGGGGCCTGCACTGGCCCTCCGTACCTGTGTGCACCCTATAGTGCGTCTCCAGCTGGTGCTTGAGGCTGAACTTCTTGCCACAACCATTGCACTCGTAGGGTTTCTCGCCCGTGTGGATGCGTTTGTGGCTCTTGAGTGTGCTCTCATCCCGGAAGCAGCTGCCACAGAACTCACACTCATACGGGTGGTCGCCTGTGGGGACAAAGGGCTGGATCAGGGCCCTGCCTCCCCCCCGTCCCCTCTCTAGGAGACAGCAGGGCACGGTCAGTGTGCCAGGAAGAGACTGCCTGTCTTCACCACCGTTCTCCAAAGACGACGTCAGGACCTCCCCCCCCCCCCCCGTGTGAACGGGGAGCATGCATGTGCACACCTGAGCATACTTCGCCGGGGCCCAGGGCTCGTCCATGGGTCCAGAGCCAGTCTCAGGAAGAGAGAGCCCGACTGGTTCAAGGATGAAGAGCAGGCCCCGGCAAGCAGGCTCCCACAAGGGGAGAGCAGACCCGTGCACTCTGACACTTGCCCCCCAGCTTCCCGTGCTACCTTCTCTCCCTTTCCTATAGGTCAGGGGTAAAAGCCATTCCAGCTTGACCCCCCCTACCCTCAAAAACACCCCTTCAATTTGGGGAACTAGAACATACCGTCCCCCAAATGCCTTCTGCTCTCTCCCTGCTCCCCAGCTTCAGCAACTATCCCCTCTGCTTGATTTCCTCTCCCCGCCCCCCAGCAAACTCCTAGTGATCCTTCAAGGCCCCGCTCACACATCCGCATGGTTTGGAAGTGTCCTTTTAGCGCCTCCCACCCAGGCACACTGAGTCACTTTCTTCCGTCCCAAAAAAGAAGAAATGCCTAGCACGATGTTATCGTAGTAGCAGGATAATTTTTATGGGACTTTGTAATCAAAACGGACCAATCTGTTGAGTGCTCGCTACCGTGCTAGGAACCTTACACACATCTTATCAGTAATCACTGCAATCACCTGACGAGAGAGGCGGAATTCGCATCATACAGAGGGGAAGGATGATGCTTAGATGGTCTCTCTGAGGTCAGATAGCTTGTAAGCGGTGGAGTCGGGATTCAGATCTGGTTTCGGAGTCTGGACATGTGATAACTTATCAGATGGCTAAGTGACACGCAGTCCTGTTTCTCTTGCCACGCACACCCTGCCTCCAGGATGGAAGCATCTCAAGGGCAAGAAGGGAGTCTTGTTAACCCTCGTTGCCCAGGGACGCAGAACAGGGCCGAGCTGGAGCAGACGCTCGGAAGGGGCGGGTAGACGAAGCTCGGGGAGAGCAGCCGGCCCTCGGCCTGCAGGCTGTGCCTGTCAGCCTCCCTTCCAGGCCCCTGGAGGGTGAGAGGTTGCGGTGTGCAGATTCACCGTCTTTTGCCTTGTACCCAAAGTGGAGGCTTTGGGGGCTGAAAGGTGAGGCCTTCAGCGACTTATTTATTACAGGAGTGAAGGCAGAGACAATAAAGATAGATGGATCACCCCAGACTTTGCTCATGAATATTTAAATATCGCTGATTCGTCTTGTCACTGTAATTACAATTTCTCTGGGCTGCATCTCCAACAACCACAGTTTATGGTAAAGAATGGCCCACTGTATTTCACTTGTCCCTCTGCAGATGTGCGGGGCTGCCAACCGTGTAATGTCCTCTGCATTTCATACATTTTCTTCAGCTGCTGAAGGTTTAAGTCATCCACAATGACCTACGTTTTTTCATTATCCCCATGTCAAACTGCACTCGTGCCTGGGCATAAATTGTCCTTCTTGTTATAGACTCGCATGCCTATGCCTTCACTTCCTCTTTAAAATGATATTTTACTCTCTTGTCTCTCTCCTCCTCAGGCCGCTAACCAAACCTCCCCCCCCCACCGCCCCAAACGCAGGCCCCTGTCCCCACATAAATCCTCATCTCTTCTGATGGCTCTGAAGGGTTTTTAAGGCTCTGTGGGGAGTGGATGCTGGGGTCTGCTTGCTGAGGGCTCTCTTTCTGCAAGAAGCTCCAAAGGCAGAGAGGGGTGGGTGCGAGCACTTCCACGAGGAGTCAGACGGGAGAAGTTGGAGGAGCAGAGCCGGTCCCCCAGTTCGTACCCATCTAGAAGGCACAGCCCTGGCTCAGAGGCACGTGCAGGTCTGAGACAGAGCAAATCCCGGGGTTCTCAGCCCCTGCTCGGCCCCTCTCTGCCAGGGCTGTGCGGACCAGCCGCCAGCCCCACCCAACCCCAGGGGAGCAGAGGTCCGTGCAGACCCTGGTCCTCCTTAGTTGTGCGTCTGTCCGAGTGAGGGTCATTCTGAGCAGGCCTGTGCTCGCGTGCCACTCCCTCTCTGTGCAGACGTCTGCACACACGGCCCCCCCGTCTGACATCCGACACCCCTCCCCGCCGAATTGGCAACGATAACGACTTTAATCAAGGATTCAGTATCCTCATTAAGATATAAATAAATAAATAAAGCAAGGGCCACGTGAGACTTCCAACGAGAGCCGGTAATTAAAACGTACATCTCGGCAGCCACCTGGCCGGGGGGTGAGGGGGCTGGGGGGGAACTGCCGTCTGTGCCTCCCCCTCCGGGGGGGGGGGCTAAGAGTTTAAAAAACGAAGGGTTAAAGCAGAGAGGTTTGTTTGACCAGAGTTTTATGAATTTAATTATGAAGTGGATCACATGTTAAACGAGTTTAAATAGGAAATCTCCAGAGTCAGCCCAGGGAAAGGAGTAAAAAGAACTTAGAAGAAAAAAAAGACATATGCACACATGCATGCACGAGTGTGTGCGCGCGTGCGCGCACACACACACACACACACACACACACACACACACACACTTTGAAGCATGGCAATCACCTGGCCTAAAATCCTCACCCTGAGAGTTAATGGTGTCCGTGTTGCCATAATGTACGCAAAACTAACTGCAGAACTCAAAATCCAATTTGTGGTATGTTGATTAACTCTGTAGCCTCTTTAATGAGCTTGACATTAAGTGCAGGACAAACGAGACTAATTAGAGCCCCTCTGGCCTGCCCAGCGCATCTGTGACCCCAGTGGCCTGGCCTCACCTGGTGGTTTCCGTGGCACCAGCCAGGCCCCACCCCGGCAGCTCCTCGGGCCCCTCCCTGTCAGCCCCTCCCTTTAGCACAGCTGAGAGTTTATTATATGATGAGCCGTGTGAATCAGGGATCCATCAATGCCAAGAGCGCGGCTGGACTAACCTACCAAACACAGCTGCCGATGCTAAACACCCGGCCCCAGCAGCAACCGGGCCAAGAACAACGGAATATTAATGAGGCATTGTGTGGCGGGTGTGCTCGGCCTGTAGAGAGCTTGTGTGCACGGGGCCTCACTGGTGTGAAAATCGATGGGAGTTTGTGCGCACGTGCATGGGCAGCAGTGTGCTCCACGTTTCCGAGATTAAACAAGTACTTCTCCCAAACTCTGTCTGGAGAGAGCCCCTCCCCACAGATCTGTGCCATGACTGACACAGGAGCAGGTGATATTTTGATGTCTGCACTCTTAGAAGGGAGCACGGGCAGAGCAGGGCATATCCTGGGTGGACTCAGCAGGTTGGGATCATTTAAGTCCCATGCAGCCAACTGATTTGACCTAGCAGCATGCTCAGCAGCGGCTGAAAGGTGACTGGCCACCATGTTAAGGCTGAACTTGGGGACCCAGTCGGGGGGGAAGTGTGGACAGAAGAGTGCACAGACCTGCAGGGGACGCATACACGGTCACTACAGAGGAGACATCCCTTCCTCCTTGGCCCTTCTTGTCGGGTCCTACCCTCTGGGACCTCCCCTTGTCTTATGCCAGCAAACCTCAATGACTCCAAGCAAGTCAGGTGATGCTTAAGGCAATACGTTCCCCTCAAGTGAAAGACATCAGAAAGTGCAAGGCCAGGCAGGCTCCTGGAGGAGGATGCACACTCTTGGGCAGGACAGACCTGCTCAGTCCATGATAAGTAAAGCCCCTCCCTCCATCAGCAGAGACTGCCACCCAAGAAAGGCCTGGCCTGCATACTTAATCCCTGAGTTGTGACAAGACCCAAGAATGAGAGAGAAGGTCCTACCATTCCTGTCTTGAGGCACACAACTTTTGATACCCTCTCCAAGAGACATGAGCCCACACCCTGTTATGGATCCTGATATGGAGTCTGCCTCTCTATCTCCCTGACCCCACCCTGTTCCCCATTCTCACTCCAAACTCAGGAAAGAGCACACATGAGCAGAGACACACGCAGACTCAGAAAGGGACACTCCTTTATCCATGTGCTGTCAGCGAAGACCCAATTTTGTCCTAGAGAAAGGGATGAATTTAAGTCACCCATTACTTTGCTAGGGGATCGGAGGTTGCTACAAGAAAGCAATCTGCCTCCTGGCCCCCAGGGTCAACCTAGAGGGTGGCGGCAGGGATGAGCCGGTACCTGGGCACACAGCCCGTACCCCTTGACTCACGACTACTTTCCTCCTCCATCATCTGGCTCATTGTTTATATGCCCTCATCGTCTCCCCTAATCAAGGTTAATGGCCAAGTACAGAAAATTTGCTTCTGTTATTTTAGAGCAAGCAGGACCACTTCTGCAACATGCCCTTAGGAGCCCAGGGCTGATGTCAGGAGCGTGTGTCCATGGCGTGGAGGCCAGGGAGAGGTGACCAAGCGGGTAGGTTTTTCTCCAAATGCGTTTTGGGTCCACCTGCATCCGAATCTTTTGGGAATACTTATTCATCACATCGAGTCTTGGCTCCCTCTCCATATCCATGAAGTCAAAGTTTCTGAGGGTGGAACCCAAGAGCCTGCATTTCTAATGAATACCCTCTCCATTGAGCGCAGAGAGACTGAGACCCACAGGTCCCCAAGATAGGAGGGGGAGAAGAACTAACAATGTTTACCTGTACAATGGAAGCCCCTCCATGCCCACCTTGAGCAAAGAAGGGCTGAGGGCCGACTCAGCCTGACACCTCCCCTTTATGTTTTTGGAGGTAAATGCAGACATGGATTCCCAGAGACTCTGAGCCAGCCATCCCCTGGACGGGCTTACCGGTGTGTGAGCGCAGGTGGCGTTTGAGGGCGGTGTGGCTGGGGAAGGTGCGGTTGCACTCACTGCAGATGTAGCTGCGCACGCCGGCGTGGACCTCCATGTGCTGCTGGAGCGCGCTCTGTGCCTGGAATCGCTTCCCACATAGCAGACAGAAGACGGCCATGTCCGTGCCTGCAGGGAACAGGAGCGGGAGAGAGCTCAGGAGCGGGGAGCACACAGCCTCTCCTGACTCATCCGGGCTAGAGCCAGGGCCAGGAGCCAGGGCTATGCCTCTACTCCCCCAGGCTCGGGGGCGAACCCAGAGGCGGGCCAGGCCATGCGGTGTTGAGGGAACACCTAGCGTGTGGCTTCAACAGTGGACAAAATCGACTTACTCCTCACCCTTATGGCAAAGAGACAAATCCGTCACAACAACCAACGTGAGTCAGCAGCTGTGTGGGGGGCTGTGTCAAAGGCAGGGTATTAAGATGGCATGTGTCGGGGCGCCTGGGTGGCTCACAGTCGTTAAGCGTCTGCCTCCGGCTCAGGTCATGGTCCCGGGGTCCTGGGATCGAGCCCCGCATCGGGCTCCCTGCTCCGCGGGAAGCCTGCTTCTCCCTCTCCCACGCCCCCTGCTCGTGTTCCCTCTCTCGCCGTGTCTCTCTCTGTGGCAAATAAATAAATAAAATCTTTAAAAAAAAAAAAGATGGCATGTGTCAGGGGGACTTTTGGGAGTCTGGGGCAGGAGGTGGGAAGTCGGGGTGGCCTCTGTGGGGGATCACAATCACGAAGACAGCACGTGCCAGCCCCTGGTTGAACGGAGCTAAGTGAAAGTCCCGTCTCCGGAAGGCAGGCTCCACCACCTCGTCCCGTCTCCGGAAGGCAGGCTCCACCACCTCCCCTCTCAGACAAGGCAAATGAGACACCAAAATTGCACAACTTGCCCCAAGTTCCACGGAGCTCAGAAGCTGCAGAGACGCAGTCCCAACCCAGGCGGCCTGGGTCTGAACCCTCTCTGGAGCTAGCTACAGACCCTCTACTTTTAAACAGTTCTCCCTTCACCAAAGCACCCATCATTTTTTTTTAAAGATTTTATTTATTTATTTGGCAGAGGGAGAGACGGCGAGAGCAGGAACACAAGCAGGGGGAGCGGGAGAGGGAGAAGCAGGCTTCCCGCCGAGCAGGGAGCCCGACGCGGGGCTCGATCCCGGGATCGTGACCTGGGATAATGACCTGAGCCGAAGGCATCCACTTCACGACTAAGCCACCCAGGCGCCCCACCAAAGCACCCATCTTGAGAGTCTCTTCATTCAGCAAATATTATTCTAGTACCTTCTCTAAGGAGGACTCCCTTTTGGGCACTGGGGAATCTAACCATGGAAAACTCTACAAAGTCTCTGCTGTCGTCATAGATGTCACCCAGCACAAGGGACCAGTGGGGGAGAGCATCCATGAACACTCCAGCCTGGAAAGAAACGCAGTTATCAGAGGATCAGACAGAAGAACAGAATCGCTAGGGAGGTGGGAAGACAGTGGAGGGAAGGTCAAAGAAGTAGGCAGGGCCAGGTCACATGCGCTTCTTGAAAACCATGTGAAGACATTTAGGCTGCATCTCAAGACCAGTGGGCAACCGTCAAAGGATTTGAAGCTAGTGAGTGGCATGAGATTTTCATTTCATTCTGTCTGGCCATTCTCTGCAGTGATCAGAAGCTTAGACAAGTACCCCGTGGTATCCTACAAAGAAAGATCCTGCTCGGGAGCCACTAACCTCTCTGGGTACAGCAGCACACGAGGAAGCATGGAGACCCACCCTCTGAGCCCTCACTGGTGCTCACTGCCCGCCCTTTTGGATCGTACTTCCCTAAGCACGTCAGCTCCCCTGGGAAGCTCATCTGCTCCCCTCTTGCTGGCATCTAACCAGTAGCACTGGTGTTCAGCCCTGCACTGCCTGGCCCTGTGTAAAGGACACAAGTGGGAAAGGTGGGCAGGCCTAGCATCTGTCAACACAGCCCAGAGGGGAGCAAGGGCAGAGCCCTGGTTGCTCAGTGCTGGATCAAGGAGCTCGGTGTAGGGAAGTGGGGTGAAGAGAGGGACAGCATGAAGACCTTGCTGCCACCCTGGTCCATCCACAGAGACAGCAAAGGGCTGGTCTATTCTCGCTGCCCCAGGCCCATCCGTGGCTGGGTTTAGGATGAACTAGCAGGAAGGCCAGACCCTTCTATCCTCCTGTTCCTCCACCCCCCATGGCCACCCGTGCAGCTGCGGCCTGCATCCAGGTCCAGGGAAGGCTGAACACAAAGCAGGAGCACCGTTTTGCTCCTGGCCTCAACGAACACAAGGGAAAGGAACTAATACATGTGCTTTATCTATGCTGCCATCTCAATTAACGCGAGCATCCAACCCCCCCAAGGCAGGCGCTCTCATCCCCCTTTCCACAAACGGGAAAACAGTGCGATTAACCAACTTGCCTGAGGTCACACAGTCAGAAGAGGTAGAGCTGAGATTTGAAAATGTCGAGGTCTGTCTGATTTCAGGCACCGCAGGGTTAGGCCCGGGTCTGTTTCGGACATGCCTCCTGTCTGTCTGGGCTTCTGGAAGAGGCACGATAGGGCCAGCGTGCTGGCTCTCATCCCGCTTGGGCCGGGAGCCCCAGTGGGTCCAGGGCCTCCTCCAGCGACGGTTAGAAAACCCAGGCCCGGGGGAGCGGGCTGGAAGCAGGGTCACAAGGCACAGCTCTCTGAAGCCTTCCCACGTCCCGGGGCAAGACCTCAGGGAGGTAACGGGGTGCCTGGCTGCACCTGGCTGAGGGGAGCGGCCTGCCAGGCGGAGGCAGCTCAAGGGCTGACGGCGAGCACTCAGTGCCCATCCCGGGCAGCTCAACACGCCCAGGTGCGCAGTCCATCTGCAGCGAGGTCTGTGACATGGCTGCCCTGGCTGTTTCATCCCGAGGGCCCCCAGCATGGGCCCCACGTAAGCCACATGTCAAACAGCTGCCTGGAATTGGTAAGCTGGAGCAGGCCTCGTGGGCAAGCTGTGCCCTTCAGCAGGACGGATTTCTCCTGAGGCATCCCCAGACATCCCCAGGGTGGACGGCACCTGGGTCAGAGGGAGCGTGACATTCCCAGTAGGGCCACTCCAAGCCTACAATGCCAGGCCCAGAGGAGTTTTGCGGGCCGGTACCCCCCAGCAGGATGGCCTGAGGACACCACGGCACTCAGCCCCCCAGGTCTTTCCAAGGCTCCTCAAAGCCGCCTCCCCCCGCAGGCCACCCATACCTCTCAGGATGGCCTGAACCCACTTCGTGCCCATCCAGCACACTCAACGTGCAGTGACCAAGTGCAGGCACCGTGAGGTGACAGAGGGGATGCTGAGACCAACCAGAGAACTGGGGTCCCAGACGAGCTGGGGATACAGACAGGGTGACCTGCCAGGGGATAAGACAGGGTGACTCCATGAGGACTGTGGCATTGAGAAATGAAGACTACTGAGAAGCCGAGGACCGGAAGGAGGGCTACAGGGGCCAGGCTAGGGACACACTGCAAGCAACCTGCAGAGCGGTGGGAGGGGGGCACACGACAGCCCTACAGGGTGGAGATAAGCAGGGAAGGTCAGTGGGGCCAGTGTGGTGCCTGGAATGGCCGGGGGGGGGTGCCCACAGGAACCAGCCTGTATATAAGGGCAATGCCCCCCCCGGGGGAGGAGAGTGGAAACATGAGGTCCAGGGCAGATGGCGTGACAGGCCCTGGCACGGGGGCTCAGCTGGGAAGCGTGGTGGCCCCGGATGGCCAGCTCTGCACCCTGGCGGCTGGTTTTGGGTGATATCACCCTCACTTGGGAAGGAAATTCTACCATGTCCGTGCAAGGGTCCCTCTCCCCCCCTTCCTGGGACATCTCACAAGGCTCAGGGGCCCTCCTTGGCCACTGAGGACACCGGCCGAGGTACAGAGATGAGGAGAAGGGACCTCTGAGGCCCCGTATCCATTCTCCCCTCTCTTCTGTTTGGAGACCAACAGCTGAGAAGATGGAAAAATATTTAAAAAGGAAGAGGTTGGGGGGCGGGGAACGGAAGAGACATGGGAAAAGCTCCTGGTGCATGCAAGCTAAAAATCTAGAGACTAGATTTGAGTTATTAAACAATTTGCTGTAGTTTCTGCCTAGCTGATTGTTCGCATGTATGATGAGTCAGGGCAGATTCTATTACACTGGGAGATTAAGCAAATAAATGCTAGCTTTTGGAAACACATTAAAATGTGGGACTATGGAAATAAAATTATCTAGAAAATTGTATTAGCAATTCATTAGTTACCGGGAGATGTGCAGCCGGGCAAGAGGCTGGGCAGGGTTACGCCCCTCTGCTCCCCACACCGCCTGAACCCCAGAGATGCTTGGTGCTCCTTCCTCTGCTAGAGAGAGACCTCATGCCTGATACCACTGGGGAGGCAGGAGGAGCCTCCCCTGGTTGCAGAAAACCGTAAGAAATCATCTGGTCAGCGTGGCCCAAGGGAAACAAAAGCAGCACAGGGGTCTTGGTTCTGCCGCTTACTTGCCTTGTGATTCTGAGCAAGTCACTGAACTTCTCTGGACCAGGGTTTGCTCATCCTTTGCCACACTGTTGTTGCTGAGAGCATCAAATGAGAAACCCACGTGCAAAGGCTTTGTAACTATAAAGTGATAGCAGAGCCCCTGCCAGCCCAGACGCCGCCTTTGTCTGAATTAGAAAATCATGCCTCTGACTGTGGGCAGACACAGATAGTCGCCTGGGCGCACGGCTCTGGTGAGCGAAGAGGGCTGGATCCCAGCCTGCATGCCCCCCTCCCCCCTCAGACGGGCACCCCCCTGCAGCAACGGACAGCCCGGATGGGGATCACGGCTGCCCTGAGCAGGAGACGAGCTGAAGTTGCTTTATTGACTCTGGGCCGCTGCTTCCAGGAAGTTGATTCTAGAGGAGGCATCTTGGATGAGTTACACCATTTGGGACTCAATGCCAAGAACATCTTCTTCCTCTAAGCCCTCATGACTACAGCATGTAAAACCCTCTGATGCATTTATTTTTGACATTCAGCTCTGCCTACTAGACTGTAAGCCCTCCAAAGCAGGACTGGTCCCTCAATCTTTATATTTCCCCAAGCTGACCACAGGGCCTGGCATAGCATGGGCACTCAGTCACTAACTGTATGGTGCATAAGAGGCTA